CGATAGCGATTTTACGCGGATAGCAATTCATTCATATGCAAAACATTCAAAATGCAAGCAGATTAGATTATATCGAAAGCACCATGGAGGTTACATATATGTACATTGAAGAAATATACTATATTAAAAAATGCATATCATTTTAAAGATAATATTTTTTTAAAGATAAATTCAAAAAATTAAATTTTTTAAAAATTTATATAAGATAAAATTCTTTTATAAAAGAAAGAGAATAGCTGTAAACATTATGTTTATAAAAAATAATTTAGAAAAACATTGTTAAAGATTAGATAACAGAAAATATAATAAAGACTTCTGATTATACAACCTATCATTGAAAATTATTTTTAAAAAAACGTTAGAAGTCAGAGCGATAAACGGTGCTCGGTTTTAATAACAAAAAACTTTTTAACGATTCAATAAATTAGACGACATATACATAATAATTAAAGAGAGATTTAATGATAAAAATATCATTAAAAATTTTTTTATTATTGCAGATGTACACCATTTACCGCGCTATTGTTAACATCCTTTTTTAATTTCGCTATTAAATCTGTAGTGTTAAATTTAACCTAATGTGAGTCGCTACTGTTTTTACTAACTATATCATTAATTTTTATTAAAACGATAATTAAATTTAACACCATATCGTGTCAATTTGACATTATATAGTGTTAAATTGACATTGTGTAGTGTCAAATAAAACCATTGTTTTAATATAAAATAACTATATGATTGAGTAGTAGCGACTCACAGTTACAACACACTATAAATGTATGGTAAAAATTTTTTCTAATCTGCAATACTAAAAAACATAACAATACTAAACAACTATATTTTTATTAACTAAAAGAATTGTAAGCAAAAAGCATTGAAAGTTATAGCAATGAAAATGCATTAAGAAATGTTAAAAATTAATATTCATTATTATGTTGTTAAAGAATATTTTGAAAAAGAAATAGTAATTCTCTCTTCACGTCGCAATTTAATTCTCGTACTGTTTACATTGAACTCTTAATCCCTTCAGATTCTGCGTATTGTATTGTGCATAAAATTTGAAGAAATTATCCATTATAATTATTTAATTCTATTGATGTCATTTATATATAATAATGTATATCTTGGAAAAAATATTCATTAATAAGTAATTCATACTAGCATTAAAAACAAATTAATATGAATTACTTATTAAAGTGTGTGTACATGACTTGAATTAAAAAATAATAAACGACTTATTAAGACCGTATATGTGAATACACAGCAAATTAAAAAAGTTTTTTTTAACATAGTTCCAATGAAATTAGGTCTGAAGGAGTTAATTTGAGATGCACCGTACTGTAAACGTACAAAGAAGGATACTGAAAAGAAGCTGATTTTTGCCCACAAAGGTGTAAGTTAAAGGAATAGCGTTTTTCAGATTAATAGATTTTAATCTCCTGAATACGATAAAGTTCGGGATTGATAGAACTTGAAAATTAAGCATGAACATGATGTATTTTTTTAATGAGATTTACAAAATTGTGTATGTGAACGCAGGTGAACTTAAACCCGGATCTACAGATCGCGAGTCAATCACATCGAGCAGCAATCCACTCGACGTCTCAATATATTTAAGAAGGTTGTAAGGCAAATACAATATGTTAAGAATTATTTTAAAAAATTATATTATTCTAAATTGCACTTAAAAGTAATACAAAAAAATTAGAGACAGTTGACCATCTGGATCAAAAGTTATTTCAATAAAAGTAATTTTTTTTTGTACTCTAATAGAAATATATGAAAATGTATTATAAAATAATGATAAAAATCTTTTTTTTATATAAGTACTTTATGAATTAAAAAATGTTTATATAAAAAATGTTTATATAAATGTTTATATAATAAAATTAATATCAAATAAAGTAAATAATGTATAAAAATTCCTTAATAAAAGCAGAATGTTATGAATACAACTTTTACATGTATATAGTTTGTTTAAAACGTAAATATTAATATATACATATTTTTATGTCCTTATACAATCTTCTTAAAGAAATTTCAATATTCTTGTTTACACTTTTCAAGATGTTCCCCGCATGCCACGAACTTTTTAATAATTTTATCATATTTAGAAGATCAAAATCTACAAAAAAAAAATACTATTTCTTTTACTTACATCTTTTCGAGCGTAAATCTGCTCTTTTTAGAAAATATTAAAAAAGGACAGACTTTTGCCCAAAAGAATATAAGTAAAAGTAATGCTGTTTTTGTAGAAACACCTTGGAACAAGAATATTGGACTTTTTAAAAATATATCATATTCATGCTCAATTTTCAAGACATCCCATATCGATCCCAAACTTTTTATTAACATTATCGTATTCAGGAGGTCAAAATTTATTAAAAACGCTATTTCTTTTACTTACACCTTAAAAATCGGTTATTTTTAACATCTCCTCCTTTATCAGACGTTAAGTCTAAGATATTCCGACGAATAAGAATTTTTTGTCCCAATTTTATCTATTGCAATATAATAGCGCGCGATAACGCCGACCAGTAACTTAATGATATGAATGCGCGTATATGACTCGCATGAACCACAACGGTGGCATTAGCCGATTAACGACCGGATTGTGCTGGTAACGGCACGCTCCTAAGCAACCAGCTACTGTTCGTTATTGAGGACATTCAACGCCACACTGATTAAAGAGCCGACTAAATAAAACGATTTTGCAAGCTTATTTAAGCGAATGAATCGTATACCGTTGACTATAATTCGCAAGGAAGAACTCGATTGCAAATATCTTGTTCTATAGCTGTACAGTGCTTATAAAACTTGGCAACTTAAATCACGTACATTTGCAACTTTCATGACCCCTCGCCGGTAATGTATTAATTCCAACAAACTCAATTATAATATATCATTTGTCATCGAATGGACTAACTGTGAATCCCGCGATACTACACACTCGTAATCGCTCGATAGCAGTATCGATTTTCGTTTCTTCACGCCGACACTGCACGCGAAACAAGAGGGTACACGTTGGGGGTTTTAATAATGCCGGGGAAATTGTGGCTATTGTTCAAGGGATCGATTACACGGCCGGAGTAACGGTGATCCAGAATACTCCACAAGTTTGCAAGTGCGTGATAAATTTGTGCGCAATAAAAAAATTCCTGTTCTTTTTCTTTTCTCTCTCTCTCTCTCTCTCTCTCTCTCCCTCTCTCTTTCGTGTGCGTGTGCGTGCTCTTTCTTTGGTTTTTTAAAAAAATTATTTTACCGGGTATGGTTTCTATGTCTGGCAGGCCCATGGTTTGCACTTTGCGCCGCGCAACTTGCAGCCAACTGACCGCCAGGTAAGCAGGCATGCTCACCGGCGCGGCGCGGCCGCGTTCAAGCTGGCCACGTATCCTAGCAACTGGAAATCAATTTCTAATGGCAAGTATGGCAACATGCGCTACTGACTTTCTTTAACGCTAAAGAACGGGAGCAATCTTCGACAGTGTCGAAAATGACTGATTTTGTCACGCAGTTCTAATTCTCCAGAACTGACGTAAAAATCGATAACTCAGTTATTAATATTAGACCAGTTATTAATATAAGACTTATTTGTTGATTAAAAGACACTAATTAATTTGAAGAAACCAAAATGATATAACTTGTATAAAAAAGGATGAATACTAAGTATATTTTTATAAAGAAACATAGGGCCTATTTAACTTATGTTAATTAAAGGTAATTAATTAATTATAAGGAACTAAAATGACACAACTCGTATAAAAACAAATGAATAATTCAGCAAACCAAGTTACATGTAATGTATTTGTTAATTCCCAGGTGACACAGCTGTTGTTTTTTAACTATATTATAGACGTCATTTTGATGAAAAATAATAACAAATAATGACAAATAATGTCGGTTTATTATTTGAATGTAAAATTTCCACTCAACAATATAACTATAATAATATATAACTATATATGTAATAATGTATATCATATTATAGTTATATTGTGCTTGAGTGCGAAAATTACAATTATAACAGATACGTTATATGTAATTTCATATTTGCTGGGAGAAATACAGATATTTTAATAAGAATAACGAAAATTTGCAAATGTAATATAAAAAATTGAATTGTTTGATATTTTTGATAAAGAGATTTATAATCGAGTGGACGACAGATGGGGGACAGTGTAACACAGTAAATCATTACATCCTTGTTGTTTGCCAATGTTAAACAAAGATGACATGATCACTGTATTGTATTGTGTCACTTGGAAGCCCAATTACATTGTTAAGCCCAAGATACAATTTGAGGGAATAGCGATAGGAATAACACGATTTCAATCTATCAGAAATCGGATATATCGGAATACACAGTACATCGTGTCTTGATCTTCACCACCGACGAGATTCTATTAAAGACTATCAATCCTGGGCAAATTTTTGGCGATATAAAAAGGGCTCCAAGAGTCCGGAGGTAATTGAAGAATGCTGACATTATCGATAATTGATACAAATTTGTAATTTTTAACAATATTATATTTGAATAATACATTATTAAATTCATAATTATATAAATGGATAAATAAATACGCATACTTTTAACGCTATAATATCTTATATATTGCCGAAAAAGTACAAATATTTTTACAGTTAAAATCTCCATTGATAATCAAATCTCGGATGATAACATCAAAATTACAGTTTTAAATAAAAATTGATTATTGTTAAGTT